TGGAGAAAAAATGGTTAAAAATGGAATGGAATCGGAATTGGCAAATCTGAAGCATAAAACGACGTCGTTTAGAGCTGTGAATAGTACCGGATCGGACTTGGGTCGTCAACCGGGTCGAGGCGCGGATCCTGTGTGAGAGTAAACGAATCGGATAAGCGGGTCGGATCGGGTCGGAACTGGGCGCGGATCGGATTCCGATGACGTCACAGACGATAAAACACGCGGGTCTAAATTCCCGGGTCGGATCGGAGTCGGGTCGGCGAATCGGTTCTGCTTGTGAGACGAAATGGTTGCGGAGCGAACTCCGGATCGGGCTCGGATCTTCCGGATCTGGGTCGCGAGAATGGATCAGGGCTTCGGGTTTTGGGCTCCGATTTTGGGCTAGTTCCGAATTTGGGCTCAATTTTTGTTTCTTTTATATATATTTTTTCCTTTTTCCAATTTAAATTAAATTAAATTAATTTAATTAATATAAATTATTTAGAAATTAAATAATTAATTCCCAATAATTTATTTTAATTAAACATCATTAATTAATTTAAATTCTTTTTTTTATATTTTTATTTTGTTTTCTCGTCTTTCCAACGCGGCTATCTTTGAATTCTTTGACTTTTTGATCTCGTTTTTCTTCGTGTAATTTCTTTCACTTCTTTTTGCGGATTTTTGCACATTTTTTTCTCCTTTTTCTTCAGAAATGATTTTTAGCTGTAAAATGGAATTTCAAACTTTATAAGTACCTTTTATCTTAAATCATACCAAAATATAGCTAAAAATACATAAATATCGCTCGAAATATATGTATAATTATTGCGATATCACAAGGCGTGTTCCTAAGGATTTCTTTAATGATTGCCAAAATCGCGAGTTGAATCTACTGTCTCTATCTGAGATGATAGAAATTGGCACCCCGTGCAATTTGACAATTTCCTTGAGATAGGTTCGGGTCATCTTTTCCATTTTATCAGTTTCTTTGATTGGTAGGAAGTGGGCGGACTTAGTCAACCGATCAACTAATACCCAAATCGTGTCATAACCACTAGGTGTCTTGGGTAGTTTTGTTACGAAGTCCATTTTAATATATTCCCACTTCCACTTGGGTATTTCTGGCTGTTGTAATAATCCGGAGGGCTTTTGGTACTCTACTTTGACTTTAGCACAAGTCAAGCATTTACTCACGTAAGTGGCAATCTCTGCTTTCATGTTAGGCCACCAATATTGCTTCTTCAAGTCTAGGTACATCTTGTCGGAGCCTGGATAGACGGAATACCTTGACTTGTGAGCTTCGCTCATGACTAAGCTTCTTATGTCACCGAATTTTGGCGTCCAAATTTGTTCCATGAAAAATCGTGTTTCTTCATCCCTATGCTCGAATTGTTTATCCATCCCTCGCAGACATTCAATAGTAATGTTTTCATCTTTTAGAGCCCCTAGCTGAGCCTCTCCGATCTGAGCGGCCAGGTTCGACTGGATTGTAACTGTTAGTGCCTTGACCTTGCGAGGCTTTATTCATTCCTTCCTACTCAAGGCATCTGCTACAACATTTGCCTTGCCAGGATGATAACGAATTTCACATTCGTAGTCATTCAACAACTCAATCCATCTTCGTTGTCTCATGTTGAGTTCTTTCTTATTGAAAATGTGTTGAAGACTCTTGTGATCTGTGTAAATGATACACTTTGTGCCATAGAGATAATGTCGCCAAATATTCAAGGAAACAACTACAGCTCCTAGTTCTAAATCATGGGTAGTATAGTTGTTCTCATGTACCCTGAGTTGACGAGAAGCGTATGCAATAACTTTGTCTCTTTGAATCAATACACATCCCAAACCTTGGTGTGATGCGTCGCAGTATACGACAAAATCATCTGTCCCATCTGGGAGGGATAGGAATGGTGTACTACACAACATTTTCTTCAGTGTCTGGAACGCAAATTCTTGTTTGTCTCCCCAATCAAACTTCATGTCTTTATGTGTTAATGTTGTAAGTGGTTTGGCTATTTTGGAGAAGTTTTCTATGAATCTTCGATAGTAGCCTGCAAGTCCTAGGAATTGGTGCACCTCTGTTGGCGTCTTAGGTGCTTCCTAATTCTTGATTGCCTCTATCTTGGCAGGGTCGACATGAATTCCTTTGTTGCTGACCACATGCCCGATAAAGTTTACTTCTCTAATCCAAAATTCATATTTAGAGAATTTGGCGTATAAATTTTCCTTTCGTAGCAGTTTCAGGATTAGTTGCAGATGTTGCTCGTGTTCTTCCTTGGTTTGTGAGTATATCAAAATATCGTCGGTGAATACTATCACAAATTTGTCCAAGTAGGGTTTGCAGACACGGTTCATGAGATCCATGAAAACTGCTAGGGCATTGGTTAATCCAAATGGCATAACCAGGAATTCATAGTGGCCGTAGCGAGTTCTGAATGCCGTCTTTGGAATGTCTTTAGCTAGGACTCAAAGTTGATGGTATCCTGACCTTAAGTCAATCTTTGAGAAGTAATTAGACCCGTGCAGTTGATCAAATAGATCATCGATTCTTGGGAGCGGATATCGATTCTTGATGGCCAACTTATTTAGCTCCCGATAGTCGATGCACATCCATCGTTCTTCTTGACGAACAAAATTGGTGCTCCCCAGGGTGAGAAGCTTGGTCTGATAAAACCCTTGTCAAGATGTTCTTGTAGTTGGCTAGAGAGTTCTTGCATTTTGGACGGTGCTAGCCTATAAGGAGATTTTTCCACTGGCGTTGCTCCTGGGACCAAGTCGATTCGAAATTCGACTTGTCGAAGTGGTGGCAATCCGGGTAGATCTTCAGGGAATACGTTAGGATAATCACGCACCTGAGGTATGTATTTGATCTCTTTCCCTTTGCTCTTTTTATCCACAATATGGGCTAAGAAAGTGTAGTACTTCTTGTAAAGGTACTTATGTGCTTTCATACATGAGATGATTCTGAGGTTTTGACCGGACTTATCCCCATAAATAATTAGGGATTCTCCATTCGGTAAACGGAGTCGTACGACATAACACAAAATTTCAGCACGATGAGGGGATAACCAATCCATGCCAATTATTATGTCGAAGCTTCCGACAACCATTGGTATAAGGTTAACATGAAAGGTGTGATTGTTTAGAGTTAATGTGCAATTTTCTAGTATTTCTTGGGTACTATCGGATTCACCATTACCCATTTCTACCACATAAGTTTCTGTTAGTTTACTGGATTTATGATCCAGTAGTTGTCTAAACTTAGGAGTAATAAAGCTTCTTTCGGCACCCGAATCAAATAGTACAGTTGCATATAAGTTGTTAACAAGGAACGTACCAGTCACCACTGATGGGTCCCGGATGGCTTCCCTTGCTCCAATCATGAATGCCCTACCTCTAGCACTCCCTCATTGATTATTCAGCTTTGGGCAGTCTTTTTTGAAGTGCCCAATCTCTCCACATTCAAAACAGACTCGAGTTGCAGCAGCGAAAGTTCCTGTGTTTACTGCAGATACTGTTACCGGTGTTGAGATTCTGCAATACTGGGCGGTATGGCCCTTCTTCTTACATTTTTCGCAGAACCTACAGTTACCAATATGATGATAATTGCACTTATCACATTTTGGGTACTTTCCAACATATTGTTTTTGTTGGGTGGGTGTTGTTGTTGTTGTTGTTATGGTCGCATATGCTTTCACTGTCTCCTGCTTCTTCTCAGAATATTGTCTCGGATTTACCTTGTACCCTCTACCAAACTTACGCTTATTGTTTTCCGAATTTGGAAGTTCAGCCTTCTGGACCGTAGTACCTTGGCGTATCTCTTAGTTGGTCAAGTTAAATGCTAATCGTTCGACACTGTCGTACGTAACTGGTCTTGAAGCGGTAACCAAACCTTGAATGGGTTGAACCAAACCCATATGTATCTCTCTATCTTCTTATATTCTGGTGGCACAAAACTGGGTCAGAGAGTAGCAAGATTGTTGAATCGGTTGGTGTAGGCTGTAATGTCTGCATCCTTCATGGTAAGGTTCCAAAACTCTTGCTCTAGTTTTTGCATTTCGTCCCTTGGGCAATATTCGTCAATCAACAATTGCTTCAGTCCTCCCCATGACATGGCATTGGTATTGCTAATGCCTAGTGTTTTGGCATGACGGTTCCATTATGTTAAGGCTACATCAACAAACGTACATGCAGTAAATCTTACTTTAAAGTTTTCATCACAAAACCTTATTTCAAACACTGACTCCATCTTCTCGATCCACCAGTTAGTCCGACAACTCCTTCATTTCCGTAAAAAGACTTCGGCTTTCAGTTCATGAAGTCTTTGTAAGTATAGGCTTTGTGGTCTCCTCCATTGTTGACATTAGAGTTACTTCCACCTCCATTTCCATTTCCATCACCGCTTCCGAATCCAGTGTTCCTGTTGGCTTCGTAGTTAGCCAGAGCGTCCGCGACGTGTTGAGCAACTAACGCTTCAAGTTGCATGGCTTCCTCATCTAGACTTCGATCTGAAGCTTTTTCCTAAGTCATACGTATGTGTGAAATAATGACTATTTCATTCGCAAGAGTTAATGTAAATTTGTAAAAATCCTTTATAGATTAATATGTTGTAATTTACAATACTCAAATAGTTCTTTATTCATAAAATATTGTAAGCAATAATTGTATAAGTTTGTTTGATCATATAAGTTTATCGAATGTCATTGTAAGTATTTCCAAAATCTTTACTGATTCCTAAGTTGTTTATGATCAAAAGTCAAATTACAACATTTAATATACACATTGTTTTAGTAATAATACTTGCTTCATATATAAACATTTCTTTGTACATATACATTGGTTTTTCCCAAAATTTGGTTACAAGAACCACAAAAGTTAGTGTGGTTAGGGTGGAAAAGTTTGATATACTATCATACAAAAGATGATCCCCAAAAGTAGGTAGCAGGGTTACTATAAACCAACTTTTCCCCGTACCCTTAACCCAAAAATATCCCTGGGCACAACCCGCCTAGGTGAGTCTACCATAAACCTAGAAAAGTACCTAGCACAATAACTAGGTGGGTGAGTTGTTGTTGTACATATTCAGCTCTCATCTCATCCGCAAAAGCTCTGGCCTCAGATGCAATCACCCTATGCTCCATAACCTGTGCCATAAGCTCCATTCTTGAAATTTGAGCATCCTGGGTCAGCAGCTGTATCTGGATAGAATCCAGATGATCAAAAATAAGTTGCATGGCTTCCTCATCTAGACTTCGATCCTCTTCTAAGCTTTGAATTCTATTACGAAGACCTGTAGAGTTCCCCTTGATAATCCCTAGTTCATTAGTGATGATGCGAATATGATGAATGAGGCGTGCTATGCGAGCAACTAAGATGGGTATAGCAGGATCAGAAGATGCCTCACGGAGCGGAGTGGGTTGTCGAGCTCGTGATGACTCTCCCACATCAAACTGGGATGGTATTTCATCCTCAGCTCTCCATTCTCGTAGATGTGTTACCCATGCTGGAGTCGGAGGTACCCTTTCTGGGGCTACTAGAGATGCTGGTAGTGGAGTGCCTCGCTTCCGTTTACGAATAGGTATGGATTTTCGTGGAGTGTATGCCATAGAAGGAACATTATAAGTATGCCGATATATTTGGAAGGCTGGTAGGGGTGGGAGGGCTTGTTGCTCAATGGCTGGTTCAGGTTCCTTGGTTGTCTCTTTTTCTTCCTCGGGATCCTCATCCTCCCACTCAAAGTAATCAACTTCTTCCTCCGTGGGGTCTATCTCATCATCAACCAACTCAGTTTCCATATCAACAAGCTCATCAGAATCTCCAACTGGGTTTGAGGGATCGTCCTCATCATAGGGTTCCTCGTCTGAGGTCAAAGGGGACAGTGGTACTGGAACCTCAGGAAGAGGAGAATCCTCGGGCTCAAGCGAGTGGGGCACCACCTGATCCTCCTCTGCCCATGGTATCGTCGTCCAATCTACCGGATCTTCCATGATCCTGCATAAGACATCAAACATGATATATGTTTATGAGTAATAGCGTGATGATCTATATACAAATGATCTTCAATTATAAGTATATAATAGATATTAATGGTATCTCCAGTGAAGCCCTACATAATATATGTCGTATATCTGACTCAGAACTATGTCTCCAATCCAAACAATTCTCAAGAATTTAGATTGCCAACTAGAGTATCAAAGTATAGTCGTGCGTCGGTCAGACCATAATAAAACTTAGGTGTGCAAGCTAAGTCTAGTTATGGGGCATATCAAAATCCCTACTGAAAGATCGAGATACAAAGGACCGACTCGCGCCGGAGTCGAATAATACAAGAGCAGGCAATGAATTCACTAAGAAGGTACTTATCAGAAACATAAACATGAGCATACCACAATAAATTTGACAAAATAATACATGGAACATACCAGTAATGATGTCTGGCGCCCCCTGGCCTCCTCTACTGTAAGTTGAAAAGCGCGACCGCGAGCTCTCGGGGGGCTCTGCCCCACCCTGGTGCCCGTCGGTGATCCTCAGAGTGGCTGGCGTCGGGGCCTGCGCTGGCTTGGCGGCGAGCAATGGACAGTTGCCATTCATATGGCCAACCTGATCACAATGGTAGCAAATCCTGTTTTGCTCGGTACTGGGGTTGAATGGTGACAATCCCTCGCAAAGTGCCCCTCATTGCCACATTTGTGGCATCCAACCGATGATCGGCAATAACCCTCATGAACCTTGTCGCACTTCCCACAAGTGCGGCCCCTTTGACTCCCATATCTCACATCAGCGGCCTTGAACCGCTTCTCCGCACGCTGTGACTGCACCGGGTTCTGCCTCTGTGTCACACCCCGGCCGACGACGGATATGACGAGCTTGTGCGACGTCATCATGGTTCATAATTATTGTTTACATTGAACAATACAAAATTATAACACAAATGTTGTTTATATATTACAAAATATATTACATATCGTGCTAAGTTTATAGAATACAAGAAACCAAAAATTACAAGTAGTGCTTAATCAAATAAGTACAATAAAGATAAAAAGTGCTTCGATGATCCCATGAATGTTTCCCAAAAGACTGAAACGGCCGACTCATATTTTCCTGAGAATACATGTGATTTAAAATGTCAACATCAAATTGCTGAGTTCACAGGTTTGTATATTTGTATCAATGTACTTTTCATTCCAAAGAATATTTTTATTGTATATGAGTATTTTTCAAACTTATATTTATATGTGTACTTTATTTCCAAAAGTACTTGTTTTTATCGTATATAAGTACTTTTAAACTTATCTTTTTATTTGTTTTTAGGCGTGATTATCAATGTTACATGAGTTCCCATAATCGAGCTACTAACGATTTGTTGCCCCTCATGATGCTTCATCGGACGTCGTAGTGTTTAGAAAGTTATCACCCGTGACTTGACCGTCGATGGTTGTAGCTAGCAACCGCAAGTGGGGATGTCAGCCAGTATAGATCTATACATAACTCTCCCGCTCACTTAAGATTTAACGATTATAGGTAGGGGACTTTGCTAAGCATTACACTTAGGTGATGACTGTGTCTCATGTAAACCCTTGAATGAGTAGCACTAAAAGTTGTAGTCTTTTAACTTTACATGTTTATGTTTACCGGTTTATGTTATATAATTATAAAAAAAATATTTTATAATTATATCGTTAAATAATTTTGTAAAACTTAAATAGGCAGTGTAATAATTTATTCATAGATTAATGACAATGCATTATATAATTTATATTACGTGGGTAGAGTAACGGCAATGCATAATATAATTCATATTATGTGGGCAGAGTAACAGAAATGCATAATATAATTCATATTATGTGGGCAGAGTAACGTCAATGCATAATATAATTTATATTATGTGGGTAGAGTAATGGCAATGCATAATATAATTCATATTATGTGGGTAGAATAAAGACAACGCATAATATAATTCATATTATGTGCGTAGAGTAATGACAATGCATAATATAATTCTATATTATGTGGGTAGCGTAACGATAGTGTTTACTAAATTTATATAAACGTCTATTTTAACGGTAAATTGTTATAACGATTATGTAACTAAATTATATAAGCGATATAAACAATTTACGATTTATATAAACAAATAATATAAAAACATGTATCCTCCCCCGAAAAATGATAAAAAGTTTAAAATGTGGCCGTGAAACTCACCCTCGTAGCGTAGTTTATTTAACAGTAGTTCCTGTTGTTGGGAAAGTAGTCGAGCATTCGGGAAAGCAAGACCTCGGGTACGGGGAATTTGAGATTGATTTACTTTGATAGAAGCTTACAGGAGTTCCATCTATTTATACTAAAAGTTACACCGCCTCCAAACGCATCTAAAATGTTCCTACATACTAATGCTTAGTCATTGACACGTTATACTTGACACATCAATGCATGTAATTTCTTATTTGGTTCACACGTGTCTTCCTTCTTAATTCTTATCCATGCATACGTACACATTTTTCTTTAAACTTCATTACGAAATAGCTTCCATATTTATCATATATATATATATATATATATATATATATATATATATATATATATTATGTATGATCCATTGATTCATAATAAATATAGATATTTGATGACTGACGTAACTTACAAAAAGAAATATTTCAGTCAATTTTAAACATAAGACACATAATATTACCGAAACAATATTATTTCATGACACGTCAAAATATATAGACGTATTTTCCAATTTAATAAATTCCAAACTTAAAATTTTTATCAAAATATTTAACAAAATGTGTAATACATTATTTTATCACTCGTCTAGATTTAATAAATAAAACTTATATAAATAATATCAGGAAAAAGATGTATTTGGTAATTTTTAGTCAAAAATATGGATTTCTAATTCGTAACTTTTTCATATGAAGTTAGATATAGATGAAAATAATAATACAAATTTTGTATTTTCATTAAAAGTTGTTTAAACGTTACAAATTAAGCCTGTTACATTTGATTTACGTCACGTTCGCGAGTGACACCTGTTAACTTAATTTGACTGTTGTCACACTCTGCTCCCTCGTCTGGATCTCCAACTCAATCTCTCGTTGCCTAGCGGCCTCCTGTAACTCCACAAGTATATCATAGCACTAAGTAGATACAATCTGGCGGATGTCCATCTTGAGCATGCTCAAGTACCAAGTCATCTGAGCTTGCTCAGAAGCAGCAAACTCAGGGCAAAACAATACTCTCTCAGTAAATATCTTGGTGATCTCCGTCAACGACTCAGTACCCTGCCGCAGGTCCAAATACTTATGTTCCAATCTCTCCCTCTCAACCAGTAGGACGTATCTCGAGCGAAACATCTCAGAGAACTGCTCCCATGATACTGCATCCCTTATCTACGAAGTGTAAGAGCTATTAACCAATCTCCACCAATCCTTCACCCCCAACCTGAGAAGGTTTAAGGCGCACTTGACCTTCCGATCAGTTGGGCAGGAATAAGTAAAGAAACACCCCTCAACATCAGACATCCACCTCATGGAAATGATCGGATACTGAACCCCATCAAACACTGAGGGCTTCATATTGCCGAAGTACCGGTACTAGAAGGCTTTCCTCCCTCCAATCCCCGCAGCAGCGACGGTCGTGGTGGCTGCAACAACAACAACCTCTAAAAGTGTAGTGTATCGGTCATCAAAGAACTCCATCATAGCAATCTTGATAGACCCAAACAACTCTGGTATTTGTCCCAGACAATAGAAACAACCTCAGCATGAATCATCGCCCTGACCTGATCCTCAGTCAACCGTGGCCTATCCTGGCCACTCGCTCCAACTCCTGATCTGGATCCCCTCGTGAACACCATAATGAAATAAACCAAAAACTATCAAATAAAGCGTAGTTCATATTATAGGAGATATTCCAAATAACGAACCCTAGGGGTTGTGACTTCCCTGCTTCGCGTAAGGGTCCTGTGCTTCCCGTAGTACAGGCCCATACTACCTTCCGCACCTACCCGTATTTGTCTCAGAAGATCATCACAACGACCCTAACAACACACAATAAAATACATATACATCCCATTCTCTCTTCCTAGATAAAGGATAGACATCCCTCAAATGGCCCGCTAACCCCACATAACTCATCCATGAAACTTCCTCCAACCCTGCAGCACCTCTGTAGGCTAATCATACATAACGCTGGATCCCATAGAAATTCGAATACCAGATTCTACCCTAAGTCCACAACCAAACAAGGAACATGAATTAATGCCAAACCAAACATTCTCAAGGTATAAGATCTTAGTTTATGTACAACTATGATGCATACACTAAGCAACTACAGGGATGATGTCAATTTCATACAAAAATATCCTAGGCTATCAGACATCATATATCAAGTAATTCTATCATGCAATTTCTGAAGATCCCTAGCCTATCACTAGCATGTTGTTCTATCATAAACATAATAGCATATAATTGTGTGGTAACTTGGGGTATACTTACTGGCTCCGGCTAATCGTACACATCACATCCTTCCTTGGTTACTCTTGAAAACAATTTTGAAAAACATTTTTTTAAAACTTTTGCAGTCCCTTAGTTTGAGCCTGGATTGTAACATCCCAAAAATAAGACCCAGAATTTCCTTTCTAGATTAATAAAAACCAGTATCCCAAAACATCATTATTTTCAAAACTCATGTCAACACATGATAATCACATCAGGTGGTCAAAACATGTCATAGAAAAATATTATCAGAGTACAAGTCCCCAAAATCTCTACTGCAGAAAATCATAGTGTGATGTGATGCGATCATGCCGGCCCCTTTCCCCTCGAGCTAGAAGTACCTGAAACACAAACTGAAACTGTAAGCACAAAGCTTAGTGTGTTCCCCCACCATACCACATACCAAAAACAACATACTGCCACACATATTTGGGTGCACGGCCTACCCCTTCGTTCTATTTCAACCGGATAATGTCGAGCATATCTGGGTGCTGGGCCTGCCCCTTCGGTCTATTTCAATCGGATAATGTCGAGCATATCTGGGTGCTCGACCTGCCCCTTCGGTCTATTTCAACCAGATATCGGGTCTATTTCACCCTTACAACTACCACATAATATTACACATAGATCACATAATCACCAAACAATACATGCATAACTGACAATTATCACAAAGATAATCATCACACTATAACATAACTAGTGGGCCGACCTTGGTGCCTTCGACCCATGCATTCTGCGAAGGGAAACTCCCCTCTCAATCGAAAAGCCGACTACTGCTGCTCACTCTATCAACTGCACCGGGTTACGCCACACCTAGATAAATATGCAATGCAACCCTTAGTTTGCCCTCCAAGACAAAAGTTGACCAAAAGTCCACTTAGGTCAAAACGTCAACGCCTAGGGTCAAGGGTCACTTTCCTTATAAACTTGTTCTCACGTCGTGACCTCCAAATGCTCACGTCGTGAGATTCAACTCGACTCGGACTCACTCAGTGAGTCAACTCAGTCTCCCTCTACATCGGGTTTTCAGATCGGGACAACAGCTAGGCTCATGCCGTGAGGTTTCCTTGTTCACGACGTGAGTTTGGTTTTTACCAACTTTTGAGCATTAAGCTCTTAATCCATTAGAACACGCATTGGGACTTTCCAGAAAATCTTATTAAGTCTAATGGACCATAAAAGTCATAAGTTTTTAGTCATGCATGTCTAATGCATGACTTGAACACTAGCTAGGTCAAAAGGTTGGTATAAATTTCAAGATTCAAACTTGAAGTCCATAACTTACATCAAAATGCAGATCTAGGGACTCTAACACATCAAATGAATCAATGGTCCATAAAAGTTGTCAACTTTATGGACCTCATGCATGATAAACCAACATCCCATGCAAGGAAAGGTACCAAAACCTAGATCTAGCATGATTAGAGGAAAAAAGTAGAATCTTTAGGACTTACAGAAGCTCAAAATCTTAGAACGTCCATAAGAAAAGATCTAGCTTGCCAAGAGGAACCACCACAAGAGCTTCTTCTTTTTCTTCAAGGGGAAAAACACCAATAAATACTCCAATATCACCAACAATGGCTCAAGGGCTCGAATCTAGGGTTTTTCAGGGACTTAGGAGTGAAGGAGGCTGAGGATGGGCGATCCTAGCCTCCTCATTCTGTTTTATACTCGAAAATTTAGGGTTTGGAGCCATCAGGCCTGACTCACGTCGTGAGGCCTTATGCCTCACGTCGTAAGGATCGAGAATGCGGGTCAGATGGTCAATGGTCCTTCTCACGACGTGACTAAGCCTCTTCCAGATGCAACAAATTAAGATTTAAATACCTCACGAGATCGGGTGCTACATGGATTCACATGGGTATTCCTCCAATTCACTCAAACCAAGGGTCTAATACCAACTTGTGACATCCCAAAAAATCACAATAAATTTAAACTTTTCAAAACAACTCATTTACTAAAAAGAAGTGTTTATATAACCCTTGTTTCCAAAAACACTGTTCAAAATCAGAGTCTCCCAAGATTAACACCATAGAACCAAGGATGTGTATGGTCATGCCTTCGCCTTTCCACAGTCCTCAAAAGTACCTGAAACAAAACTAAAACTATAAGCCAACGCTTAGTGAGTTTCCCCCAAAGTACCACCACATAAACATAACAAACAACTGATGGGTTTTGAGCATTCTAACACTCCTAAGTGTACATGCAACCCTAGAAAACCTTGGATCTATGTTTGTCTAAAATACATGCAAAATACTTTTTCCAAGGTTCATAATCCTATCTAGCATACATGGGGAACTTTAATCATAAAAGATGGCTAGAATTACATACCTTGTAGTTGATTTGATTCCTTGAAAACCTTGAGAGCCTAGCACCCCAAGTGTGATGCCTCAAATGTTTCACACAACACCAAATGCTCTTGGAATAAACTTTGAGAGAATTGTATAACACTTGAAATTGGCCTTGCCCTCTTGTCTCACTAGTGTAGCCGATTTTGGTTGCTATAGGTATGCTTATATAGTATGTTGCATTAGGGTTACACCATGTAAACCCTAATGTAACATGGCTCTTCATTTCCATGACCCATGGGTTTGTAACTCCCATGGAGAATCCATGGAGCATCCTATGGACCTTAGCCCAACTAGATAATCCATGGAGCATCTAGCCCACTATACAAGTATGGATGATTTACACAATCAACCCATATATTTAATTAGTCTCCTTTTTGATCACTTAATTAATTCTAGATTAATTCTTGATCAATACTAACTAAATAATATTATTAATATATTAGAACTTATAATATATTAATAAACGATAAGTGTTATTTCTCTCATTTTAGTCTATCCAATTGCATGATGCCATGCAACCCAAATGGACCATGTCGGGTCGGGTCAAGTACATACCATAAATAGTTATGGACTTAGACACCTTATCCAACAGTCTCCCACTTGGATAAGTCTAATTACTATAACTGCAAGTATGACTTCAGGA